TCAACACGTTAATCTAACACGAATTCTGTTGACTTGGTAATGGTTTTAAAAATATTATAACTTCCTGTAATGTGACGCGACAATAGCCAGTTTCTGTGAAGGTGAACTCATATAGAGTAAGTTCAGGAATAACTCTAAAGCATACAAACATGAACACATATGTTGGCTATTGACCGTGAAGCTCGGAGGCAAAGAGTCCTACTTCCAACCTTAATGGTTGGCAGTTTCATTCAGCCGGGTATACGATATAGCGCGTTCCGGTGATAAGCCTCAACACAGACGGAATAGCTGTTCGATGCTTTTTGCTGGCCTTCTTACAATACGAAATGCCACACTTCTACTAACCCAGTCAATCATTTGGTAGGCTCTTGTTTCTAATTATGTGTGTCGATTAGATTAGTGCATAAATTCCACAATGGAACTCAATGCGCATACCGTTCAGGTACCATGAAATTACCGGACTTAGTTCTATTTTTCATTTGACACAGCAGCTCCCGCAACTTTTCAGGATCTTCACAAAGTATAATTTCTTGAAACTGTGCTGACATCCGAGGGAGAGCACACAAACTGGATGATCATAGATCACGCATGAGTGTGATTTAATTCATCAGCCGTTAACTTCTGTTGCTCTTATCGATAAGAATTCTGGCTGGAACTGCTCAGAAAGTTCCCGGGAGAAAATTTCTTGTCAAGTGAATTCGCAATAGGAAAGGAACTAACAATTTGTCTTGTATACATACTGAATCGCATTATTTCTTGCGCTTACATGAAATATATTCCAGTCCTTGCGTTTAGATTAGCTTTATACGGTTAAAATGATATAAAAAAACACGAGCATACAATTTACTTGAATAATTCTACTTTTCCATCACGGCGTACGCCAATTAATTATACCATTCACACCCAGGCCGGATCCCCTGTGAATATGTGCTCGTCAAGATTTTCACAGACTATAAATCACGCTTTTGGATACAAGGAATTAATACAAATGACCATGCAGCGTTGTTTCCATTGTTCCTGCAGGAAATCTGTTTGTCGTTCAGAAGATAATCACTTCGTCCACTCTGTCAAAGGCAGACGGATCCAGCTATAAGTGCACTTGCGCACTCTACGCCAAACGCACTGTACGTCAGTTGTCGATCAGAATGGATGGGGGAGGGGGGTCCAAAACAAAGGGGGCGGAAAAATCCCCATAAGTTCAGCGGCGTCTCAAATTTTGCATACCGGACGCGTATTCCATTTCTTCCTCAGACACTGAAGTCCCAGAATGCCAAGGTTTGTCATTAGTTATCGTCAGCCGCCACAGGACGGATTTTTAGGTGCCAAAGGCCTTCCGGATACGATTGCTTGGGTCGTAGGTGACAACACTTCTCTAATCGGTCTAATGTCCCCTCAGTCGCAGACAAATGACCGTTTTTATTTACAAAAGTAATTGTTTGTTGACCCTGGTTAACCAGCAGTAATTTATTTAATCTTTCCGTGAACAACCCTCCTCCTTCCGGTCTTCGCTCAGTAAATTAGTCCCCCGTTGCTACCAAGTAACTATTTTTAAGACCACTATTTTCTGGTGGCTATTCTGTATTACTTGACCACTTCCACTGCCGCCTCACATGTGCTATGTATCTTTCCACCCGAAATAATTTAAGCAACGACTTAACTAAGAAAATATTTCCCAATTGACCCATCATTAAATGTGACTATTCACAAATTACATTTTTATAATAATTTTTGAATATCCTAAAGATACTTTGATAGCTGATTGCCGATCAGTGTCAGTTCGCGTTTTGAAATAACTGTACTGTCAAATCTGTACTATTGTGGCAGCAAGTAAAAGTGATGGGCACGTGCCGCACAACTCTATTGCGTAACAATATATGTCGAATCATTATCAGCCTATTAAATGAACAGTTAAATGGAGTATTTCTATTGACAAATTTCTACTCCTCTTTTAATCCATGCAGTCATATGAAACACGAGTAAATACAGCTTACGGTCTGGGAATCATAAAGTGGCTGGCGTACTTCTCGCCTCGAGTGCTCATTAAGTATTCAAGCACACTGATGTTAATTACTACCCACGTTCTTTACTCAAGTCGCATTTGCCGACAGAAAATTAATGTGTCTTGAATGGGGACCGAATAGTCAAAAACCACTCGTTCTAGAACAGCAGTGATTTCTCACAGGAGCAATAATAACAGCAGCAGGCGGGAAGAACATCAAAAGTAGTTAGGTAGTGCGAAGTAAAGTGGGAAAAAGCGGTGGAAGCGCACAGAACTGGATAGAAAGCGTGAACAGAGAGTTGAGTGATCGTCTGAAAGAAAAGGAAGTTGAAAGCCGACTGAGACGATATTCATACCATCGTGCAGGCGGAAATTTCACGACATCCAAAGGCGCGAAAAAGACACCACATGGACGGACTTCCGGATGTCTATGTAGTTGGGAAGTATATCGAACGAGTGGCATCTTAACTAACCCGAAGAAAAACTGGAATTATTTTAACACCCATCGATCATGTATAATGACAAACTCATTATTGAGCGGGCCATGGTGATCCGGTGGTAACGTCAACAAATCACCATCCCGGTGGAAGTGTGTTCGAATCCCATCACCATCATCAACTGACTTTACCCATTATCTGTAGTACGACAGCCTTTTGATTGGCCGTTTCACCCTTCTCCAAAATCGTATCAATATGTATTCAATAAAAGGGAAGTGAAAATGAAAAAGGAACGATCTACATTAACGGTTTTTTAATAAGTAGGACTGATCGAATGCATCACAGAATAGTTGAAACTAATCCTATGATTTACAGACGGACTTCCTGTTCAAAGATAAGCATTTTATAAATGAATCGTCATATCTGTTGATTTTCATAATTCCTACGATTGTAATCAATTTCGTTTCCGCTCTATCCCTTAGCAAACTTGGAGTAAAATCATGCTTAAATGAAGAACGCATGAGTTATAAATTTAGCAAATCAGTTGCAGTGCCATCACCAAGTATTGGTTTTAGATAAATCAGATTTTTTTCTGTATAACCGTGGTATCTTCTGACCTCGGACTTACGTGATGGTTTGGAAGCACGTTGTAGCCTGATTGGTATTTCACCGTGCATGCGAATCAGACCAGTCCACATCTTATCTACCATGGAGAAGAGTGCCACATTCGGAGTGGTTGAAGGCCATAAGCGGNGGGGGGGGGGGTGCAAAGGTATTCATGACGGAGTTAAGCATCACTCATTATAAATTTCACTATACACGTATAATTAACTGGGGATTCATTCGAATTAAATTCCAAGGACCTAGCTAAACTCGTTTGCTGTCGAAAAACAGATTCGGAAAAACAAACTGTTCAAACTTGATCGGCTTGGGGATCGCATGAGCTGCATGCTTGTAATTTATCGTCGACATTCGGTTAAGTACTTCAGTGAAGCAGAAGAACTTACTGCAGATAAAGGTCGCAAAATTTTAAGTACCCATTCAGCATTGTCTGGATTTCCAGGAGCTCCTTTACTCCTTTTCGATAAAGAAATTATTTAGGCAATGCTCAATAAATTGGTACTAGTGATTGTAAATTTGTAAACGAATATCGCTGAGAGGACAAGCTTGTTATGAGGCGACTATTAGCGGGTACCAAGATTTTAAAACACATATGTTTGTTATTTTAAAGCTTTCTTGATCTACGCGTACTCATTTGTTCTTTTAGATTCGAATGCATTTGTAAGTGAGTTACTTTCAAATTTGGGAAGTCAGTCTTCACTTTTACATTATCTTTCTTTGAAATTCTTCGTTAAAATAATCTAAAATTTTATGCTTGATGGGCATGACAAGTCAGACAGTCTGTTCAGCGAACACATGAACAAATGAAACCACAAAAGATATAACGTAAATAGAATGGTGGTTTGTTAAAATACGCTTCAGATTTCCGAAAGGTGTTTTGCATTTCTGAGAAAAGAAAACATTGAATTTTAAACAAAACAACCCTGGAACGCTCAAAATTCAATTCAGAATAGGTTGAGTTCTCACTTTGGATGGATGAAAATATCCGCAGTATATTCGGAAACCCAAGGGAATGTAAGAGCGGAAACTTTAAGGAACAAACGATGATGAATCGCCTAGGTATTTAGCTCAAACATGTACGCACGCACAAACAGTGGGATAACCGTAACCGTTCAATCTAGACCCGCGCACGCGCACACGCGCAGTTGGTAAAATGACTGAACGGTGCAAAAATGAACGGTGTCATACTGAACTCGAGAACTCTTGTAAAACACAATATAGTTTCACACAGACAATTTGGTTGGTGAACCTCGGCTTTCACTCATAAATCACCTTAAACAGGACTATAAAATGACAAGTGGATTCTGCGCTTTGCGCTCTGCGTTTGTCTGTTTCGTCCTCCTTCTAACACTCCGGACGTCTCCATCTCTTTCTTCTCCTCAGGTGCTTCGTTTTGTTTTCGACTTGGCGCGCAGCTTGAACCCCTCCTACTGCCCTACCACACAACCGTTCGCTCCGCTACATCCCTATATGGAAAAACCATCACCCCGCACACACTGCACCGCAACGTCGAGCAACTGAATGCAATGCATCATACCACACCTTGCAGGAATTAACTGTATCGGACTAAACGAGACCCGC